AAAAAAAAAAAAAAAAAAAAAAGAATTCTTTTCATATTATAAGATCTTAAATTCAAGTTAGTAATAAATAACTGGGAAAAGTTAAGTGGAAACCACTGGTTTCTGTCTGTTCAGGGACAAAGACACAAGCATCTGCCTTTTATGCAGTTGTAAAGATGTTATTTTGAGGACTGTTTCTGCCTGTTTACATATGTGGTTATGTCTGTAGGAAATTTTCCTGAACCAAGTCTTAGTAATTTTGGTAGATATTGCCAAACTCTTCTCCATCGGGGTAGTACCATTTTATCATCCACTAGCGATGGATAGGAGTGCCTGTTTTCCCAGAGTGTGTTGTAAACTTAGATTTCTCCTGATCTGATAGGTGAAAAGTGGTATCTCTGTCCTCCCACAAAGTCACACCGTCTTTTTTTATGTTATAGACCATTTGGTTTGCTTAGGAAGTGTCTCTATGTCATTTACTCATTATTCTGTGGGGTCATCGATCTTCTCAGTTTCTTCGCATACTAGGGAGTGTAGCCTTTCATCTGTGATTAAGAGTTAAAATATTTTTTCTGCTTTGTCACTGGACTGTGTTTTGTGGGGTTTTTCCCCCATGTTGAAGTTTGTTTTTACGTAATCAAATTAATCAGTCTTGCCTTTTATGGCTTCTAGATTTTGAGTTACAGTTAGAAAGTCATTCCCTGCTCCAAGGTTATGGAGAAATTTACCTATGTTTTCTGAGTATTTTACAGTTACATATTTTATATACAATTTTTTCTTATTTGTTGAGAGCTCCTCTTGGTATATGGTATGAAATAATTATCTATCTTTTTTTCTAAATGGCTGCCCAGTGGTCCCAATAGCAATTATTTCCATGGTTACACCCCTGATTTAACATGCTACCTTTATCATATACTAAATTCTTGTATAGATTTGGATTTATTCTGAACTTCCTATGAATATAGTACTTTGGAAGAGAGAAATAGTCTGATACTCAAAAGACATCCTAACCAGAAGGAGAGTAAAAAGACAATATTACTGGTTTACATATAACAAAGATGCCAATGAAGATGGATGGCTGTTTGGGTGTTTGGATGGATGGCTTGTTTGTTTATCTAAGTTTTATTTAGGAGAGAAAACCAAGAAGCAAAGACATCAGATAATCTAAAGAGTAGGCCCAGCCAGCCACAGTGGCTCACGCCTATAATCCCAGCACTTTGGGAGGCTTAGGCAGGTGGATCACTTAAAGCCAGTTTGAGATCAGCCTGACCAACATGGTGAAACCCTGTTTCTACTAAAAAGGCCAAAAATTAGCTGGAGATGGCGGCACATGCCTGTAATCTCAGCTGCTCGGAAGGCTTAGGCATGAAAGCTGCTTGACCCAGGAGGTAGAGGTTGCAGTGCGCCAAGATTGCACCACTGCACTCCAGCCTGGGAGCTAGAATAAGACCCTGTCTCAAAAAAGAAAGAATAGGCCTAAGCCAGAAACATACTGTTGACTGAGTCTTAAATATATTATTTTCCATATACAAAACTAACGAGTGCTAGTAAGTCACCACTGGTTTATAAATGCCCCATTTCGCTGTGAATACCACATGTACCAATGAATTAGAGCCTTAGAGACACTTAATAAACACAAGAAGATGCAGACAGTTATGTATCTGTTCTTTTTAATCCCCTAAGACTGGCAAGTAAAACCAATAGAAGTAAAAAAGCTTCATAACCCCTTTGTAGAATAAAAGATGTTTTTAGAGAAGGGCAATTTTAGAAGCTTTGCTCTAGAAGTTTCATTTGGGATAATCTTGACTCCTTCCCTTCCTTTGCAAATACTTTTCCTTTGGGGAACAAAATATGTTCAAAAGGGGGCTAATCTAACCCAGATTGGTCATTTCTTTTTCTACTGAAGGTTTAGTAGCATTAGCATGAGGGGCAGTATGTAAACTAGATGAGGTCCCAGGCTGGGCATTGGGACTCTTCAGGTGTCATCTTTCCTTTGCCACTAATTGGTGAGGCCTTGCCAATCAGTGTGTGTTCTTCCTACCTGGAATTGGAAACAGCCCTGGCTCATTCCTGTACAGTGTGATGATAGTCAGTCAGCTAGGGTAGAAGCAGTTGCTTTCTCTCAGCAAGCCATGTGCTGCATAGCCTCTTTGAAGGACAGAGGAATAAATTACAAAGATAAATTAAGCAGGATCTTTGACCTGAACTCACAACCTGGTAGGAGGGCTAGATACATTAATGAATAGTAAAATGTCATAGTAGAGGTTTGTAGAGAAGACCTGTCAGCTCCAGCAAGAGAGCAGCAGCACCTGCCTGGGTTTGTTGGAGATGGCATTAGGAAGTGATATTTGAGCAGCAGTGGAAGAGCACTGTGGGCCACATGGCCGTGTAACCATGCCTTCAGAACTCCTAAAACCAAGAGACTTTGGAGAGTCCTTGGCTGCATCCTCCTGCTATCTATCATCTTGGAAGGCCCACTTGATGAATTTAGATCATCCAGTTTTACTGGCATTGCATAGAAAACCTGCTTCTGTTCTTGCAGGTTTTCCCTGAGAAAGGGAAGCCTTGTATTACTTGTCTATTTATATAGGAATGCATGGACTGTAGACCCTGAGGTTTGGAGATTGGAACATAGAAGGAAGGGCTTCCTTTATGAGCACCAACACAACTTAGCTTCTTTCATTCCGTTGTCTTCTGTCCCCAAGAAGAGCTTAAGTTTGCTCTAAAGATGTTATTGATGAATTCTAAACAGCAACAGGATCTGAGATAACCTCAGTGAAAAAAGACTTATGTAGAGGCCCAGAGAAAGCACGGTAGTTTATCACCTATGTTGGTTCAGGGGAAAAGGATTATCAGTACTTTTCATCCCGAAGATCTTATTTATTAAGTACTTTGCAGTTTCACCCTTTTGAATCTGAAGTGCAGTGGTAGCAGCCAGCACTTGTAATATTTCAGGTTTAGTGTAGTTTATTTTTAACCACCTGCTGGTCTGGAGGGCTTCAAAGGTCACACCACACAGAACAAACCCCATAGCATGAGTTGCCACTCGTCTTACACCCACTTCTCTTCTGGTTGCTTTTGCCTTGTCTTGGCAGGAGTTCAAAGAAGGACGCAGAGCCAGCCACACAGCCCCACAGGTCCTCTTTAGCCACAGGGAACCTCCTCTGGAGCTGAAAGACACGGACGCCGCTGTGGGTGACAACATTGGCTACATCACCTTTGGTGAGCAGGGTGCACTTGCTGCTTTCATGCTGCTTTAATGAGTTCACACTGCAGAATGCCTAAATCTGCACAGAACCTTAGTTAACATTTTAAGGTAGGCAGAAGCAGGCATGCCAACTTGTTCCTGTTGCCATTGCTGTGACTAAAGGAGGGATGTCACAGGGTATTAATTACAGAGCAGGCCATGTGCTATTCTTGTACAGTAATCATTTCCTTTTTATTTTTTTTCCCCGTTTTTCT